TCAATTATTTTCAAAACTATGACCAAAAATTATTCTATTTATTTTTCTCTCTATGTAAAAGTGTGACTGCTCCTGTTTTCCTCCCCCCACGCCCACTACACTGGCGCCTCCTACTCTGGCGTTGTGCAAAATCCAAACTAATAATGACATTTTGCGAATTATTCCACATCGCAGCCTGCTTGACACACTGACACTGAACCAGCAAGCGGCAAGTGGCAAGCGGCAATAAAAGCGAGATGAGAAAAGAGACGGAGACAGAGACGGCCAAAGGACCAAACAGGATCCTTGGGGTGCAGGGGGCGATGAAGACAGAGAAGATAAGGCTGCAACAGGAGCCACGTTAGTGGTGGTGTAAAATTTATTTGCTACCAGGACCCGTCACGTCCTGGGCCTTACATGCACAAGTATATACGTGTGTACGTATGTGTGTGTTAGCCATAAAATTTCTCATTCGAAAGGAGTTCACAGGCAGCTGAAAAACAGGAGGAATCATAAAGCAGGAACGACTTCCAGGAAACAAACAAAAGCCCTTATCAATGTTCCGAAAAATTCAGTTATCAGGGCAACAAACAGGGTATCCGTTGAGACGTAACACATTCTTACTATTGCCTCTAAGAGGGGGAAGCTCTTTCTTTACAAAGTCGTCGGCAAAATGAAAATGTTGCCCGGCTATTCCCGCTTTTCCATTGAATTTATTATCCTGCTGATTGCGTAACATTTATTCATGTCAATTAGCCTTGGCAGCAAATGCAAAAATGCTGTTGATGCACTTGTCCTCCGGTCCTTGCCAATTATCCCCTCACTTTTCCCCGGAAAACTTGTCATATGGCTGTTTTTGACATTCATTGTTGAAAAATATTTCTAAATTTCAAGTATTAAAGTAAAGTGCTATTAAAGCTCTTGAGAGAAAAGTTTAAAATATAACCTGACCTCGCATTATTAGTTGAAAAGACATGTCAAGGTAGACATGGAAAGGCACTATTCATTTATTTAGATTTATTTTCAAAGGGCACAAGCCAAATCAATGGAAAATGGAAACACTTGTCAACACTTTGTATATCCTCATTCCTTTGGAGCTTAGCTCACAGCTAGCGAGTCCTTTATTTTAATTTAGCCGCTCCAACTAATGGATTCGGGCTTACGTAACTCCAACACTTTGGCCATAATGCGGCACTGGGCCAACCCAACTCCTCCTCCTCCTTTAGTTCTAAACTATTCCGCACCCTGGGTGCTTGGTGCTATATTGTGCTGCAAAAGACTTAATTTGCATTAACAGCAACACTGTGCACGTACGCAACACTATATATTTAGATATACAGTATATATATAGTAGGGGGTTTGGTTCACTTTTAGCGGAACCTATTGTAATACGTGCAGCTAGAGAATTAGTCGAATGGCAGGACCAGACCGGGCCAGACCTAAATATATACATACATAGTCGTATATAAATTAAGTATACGCAGTGCTGCCACCTCGCCTGTGTCTCATTTCTCTATTGCCCATTCTTTCTGGGAGGAAACTGGCAACTGAGCCAAAGTCTCTAATGACCACTTTGAGGGTTTTAAAATGGGCGACAGTCAGGCAGCGGCCACATAAATAACACGACGAAGAACGTCAGTATACCCTACTCTTACTCCTCCTTGCTGCTACTACTGCTTTCCCTGCTGCGGCCAGAATGAAATTAACTTATTCATTAGCAAATGGCAGCCCGGGGGCCCGTCGTCTTATACATCAAAATATATGTAAATTCATGCACATATATACATACTTACAAAGATATATATTCAAATGTTTATGTGTACTATAGAAGCTATTTGCAACACTTTTCAAAGGCGCTAAATGTCAGACACTTGCCATACCTTGGTCTGCCCCAAGGTGTCTCTTATGCTGGCATACCCGGCGTATACTTAATAAAAATAGTATTAGAGGGTTTTTTGGATTAGTCAAAAACTATTTACTAAAGAGTTTTATGTCTAATAATCTGACATTTGAAACTCATATCATATCATTTTAAAGACTGTTGAATATATATTTGGTTATCTGCACTGGGTACTCTCGTGACTTATAAACTCTGGCTATTTCCTCAACAACCTTCGGCAAAGTTTTCTTTCTTGTTTTTAATTAAAAAACATTTTCATTGCAAGGTGCAAAATGGCTGGCAAATTGCATAGAGAACACAAGCCAGCACCGCTGGCAGGACTTCAGGCGCCATTTTGAGTTGCCGGCTTAACGAGACACACTTACACACACAAACACACAGAGCTACACCCACAACTGGTGGCTGAGTAAGTGACTGCGTTTTGTAGTTTGTTTGGCATGTCCTTTTCCTTTTCCTCTTTCTCGTTGGGGCTCTGTGTTTTGTTTCGTGATTTCAAAGAAAGCAAAAAAGTTTAATTAAGTTTTCAGGTTCCTGGTTTTATTTTTAACTCGAGTTGTTTTGCATGCCACTCGTACAGAGCAGAACATAAACAAAAATAACCGTGAGTTCTGACAGCTGCCTGTAATTTATAAGGGCATTTAGGTGCAGATTTTTTTCCAGCATTAATGTGGGATGCTTATTTTAAAACTTTTCCATCATATGCGCTGGATGGATTATTATGTGGGTATTTCGTTCTGCACTTGATAAGCTTGATGCTTCCGTAGTTTTGAATTCAAGTTTTCATATTCCTGTTTCCATTTTTGACAATTATAATTTAACTGTCATGTGAAAATGGAAACTTTAAATGAGATTTTGTATCTAGTTTGGTAGACAGACCGAGAGTGCAGATAGCACCTGACCATTTTAATCCATTTCGGCTTTTTCTGCTATTGTGTGAACGTCCGGAACCAGCTGGTCCCTGCCATTGGCCAAAGATAATACTCCGCTGATTGTCAGCTGCCCAATCCGCCCAACTTATTTGCATTTGTCATCCGCATTACGAGTGTATATGTATCTCGTCTCCTTTTCTGTTCTTGCACCATCAAATGGAGCGACAGACCCCGTGGCACAAGGATCCATTTAACTTGCAATTTGTGCAAACGACTTACAATTGTCGCAGACAATTTTGCCGTTTTTTAAGCCAGCACAGGAGAATGGAACATCGAATCGCAAATTTCTACATTTTATCTCTACTTTTCTGCTTCAATTTCTCTGTTCTTGGTTCTAAAGCTTAACCAGCCAACAAAAAACAGGAAATCGAAAAAACGAAAACGAATGGAAAATGTGGGGAAAAGAGGAGTTTCCGGGAAAATTGTGTTCTGGGAAACAAAATCTCGAGGATTAAGCTCACTTTTTAACGGGTTTCAATAAGATAAAGGTTTTTACTTCTTTTTTCAGATTGTATCTATGGTATGGATTGTATCTACTTGTATCTATCAAATGGAACATAGAAGTTTAATATTAAATAATTGAAGTTGATTGTATATAAGCTTTCCGGAACGTCGTCCTGCCAATAGGGGCTTTCCATCTTCGCTTAGACTGGCAAATTGGGAGCACATTTTCAGGCCAACTTTAGGCGAACGTTCATGGTGAGATACGGATCGCAGGCAGGTGGTTTCGAGTGGCCGCCAGGTGGCAACCAAGTCCGCTACGTTTCGTGGAAGTGCGAAATATTTTCGGTGCGATTTGCATGCGCTCGGGAGCAGCCAGGGCAGACTGAAGGCGTGGCAGCTTGAATTGGCGCCGCACATAAATGCAAATGCAAAAAGTGGCCCAGGGCGGAAATAGGCAAGTGCAAAGTGGGGAGAGATGGAAGGCAAGTGGGGTGCGAAATTCGATTGGGCGAACCAGGTGGCAGCTGGTGAACAAAGTGTGGCATACATTTAGGCGTCGCCGCATGCAAATGTTTGACGTTATACAATAATAAAAGCAAATACGTGGCACCAAATAAAAAAGAGACCCTTCTCGCACACAAATATACACATCATATTTTTTTTATTTCCCCAAGCTTATTCTTGTGATGTTTTTATTTCCCTTTCTGCTTCTTGTTCATTTTTGCATATTTTTCCTGTTCGATTTTTATCGCCACGTCGCCGTCGACGACGAAAATGTTGCGCAAATATTTGCGCTTTTATGTGCATAGGAAAAATCCTCTTCGCTTTTTATGCCCTTTTATTTTTATTTATACAATTTTTTTTGTTCTTTTTTCGTTAGGTCCCATCGACTTGGCTGGAACCTTTTCTTTCTCATTGCTTTTTGTGCATTCAGATTTGCTGCTTTTTATGATTTACTTGTGCTTCGTGTTTGTACATTGGGTCGTATACGTATTCGTATTCGTATTCGTATTTGTGTTTGTGTTCTCTTTGGTATGGGTGTACGTATTGCTGTTGGCATGGTGTGTACACACTGTTGCAAAGGTAAATTGGATTGAGAAATTGAAATCGCATTCACCGACAGCGAGAGAGAGCGAGGGACTGAGAACGGTAGGATGAGATGAAAAGCAAAGGAGATAGAGGAAAATCTTTTCCGTTTTATTTACCTTATTGATTTTCTTCTTTTGTATGTTTGTATCCACATAGGAGTACAGGGGCATACCTATGTAGAACCGAGAAAGTCAAGTCAAAGTTGCATTTCCTGGAAAAAGATGAATGCCTTTTTGAATTTTCTTATAACTGTGTCTTTTAGCTCCAAAAAGTATGCTTTAAAAACTTTTCCACGCCCTGGCACACACATAAACAGAAATACACCTGCTGGGACATTTTGTTTCCCCAACTCAGTGTCAGCCTTAAATGTCCCAAACATTCATCAAAGTCCGGCGTTAAAACCATTTCCGTGTTCTTTTCTGTTCCCCCGGAACAAATTGTCGAAAAAATAAGCATTCGGCTCGTGACGCCACAACTAATTAGACTAAAATGACGTTCGCCTGGGATAGTGTCGCTGCCATGCCAAGTTATTTGTTTTTCGGCTGCACTGGGCCTGGCTAAATGCCATTTGCTTAAACTAATATGTGGAATAAGCTGCTGACCAATAGTTTGAGGGGAATAATAAAATAATACAAATAATAGAAGAAGTGCCTATCATAAAAAGTTTGACTTTCAAATGTTTATTCGTTAAAAATAATAATGAAAAGCTATACATCTACGAAAAACATACTCAGTTATTTGGTCTGGTGTAAATGTGTGTTTTTTTGTGAGTGTACTATGTATGAACGATGACTTAAGTACAAATAATGGATGCGAACGTGACATGCTAACCCTAACCCAAGCACCCAAGGTCAGTGCATCCCTTTTTATCCTTTTATCTCAAAAATGGCGCTGCATCACCCGATCCAGATCGTTCCAGCTGCAGGAATAGTCGATCTGGAGAAGACCCTTCTTGCTCAGTCCGAATTTACGGGCGTAAATTCCCGAGTAGAGCGAGGAGTCGCCCTCGCCGCTGGAGTGAGGTGAGGCGCCCCTCTGACCTCCGCCCAGGGTTCCGTAGAGGGTCGAGGGGGCGGCGTATATGAGCGACGTGGCCTGATGCTGGCACTCGCTGCAATCCGGTAAGCTGCAGTACGGCAGTGTAGCGTACGGATTGCAGTAGTCGTAGGCGGGAGAAAGCGGCGGCGGCGCGGGAAAGTCGATCTGCGGAGGCGTGACTTGTGAAGTCGCCGCCTTTCCGCTGCGCTTGCGCCTCGGATGGGGGGCAGTACCGTAGCCTATGGGGTTCATGTTCCTGGCCACCTGGCTGGGGACGGAGCGGCGTTGCAAGGTGGTGGCCCTGCGCTGGGCCACCGGATACGTCATCTCATCGCCGATCGAGGAAGGATGCTCAGTGGAGCTGGCACTAGAGAAGCCTTAAAAGGAAAATGGATAAAATAATACAAAAAAATGAAGAGAATCCAAAAACTCACCTCCAAAGCCATTATACAGTTGACGCTGCTCTTCCCCATAGATATCCCCCGGCTGAACCTCCTCCCCCTCACCATATTCCTCCTCACCATCGTTTAGGTGCAGCTCCCTGGTCATGGTGGCCATGTAGTCCTCATAGCGACTGGGCACCCCATAGATGTCACTCCGGGCCGTATAAAGTGGCTCTTTGCGAGCACTACGGCTGCGCCTGCGACTCCTCTGGGGCACACAGCACTCCAATTGGCACTGGGCGCGTGACACGCGACGCGTCTGTGTGTGTGGGCGTGGCATTGTGGCCGACATACCCGCCCCATATCCGTAGGTGGGGCTGGGGGTCAGCGAGTTCTGACCGGTCCCGTAGGTCGGTTCGTCGCCCAACTGGCCCACGGTTACATCATCGATCTTCTTGCGCACATAATCATAGTTCTCCAGGTCCCAGGGATCCACATAGCAACGCTGAGAGGGCAGCAAAGTGGTTCCATAAATATCTTCCGTATTGTCAATGGTGTAATAGGGGGATTCCAGGGCTCCCACACCCTCCGATGAGCTACCAGGTAACGCCTGTTTGGGACCGGCTCGTCGACGCCTAGGAGTGGTTTGACTTCTTTCCCGCATGCTGTTAAGGATTTTGTAATCATACTTTAATAATACTTTTAAAATAATACTTTAAAATTATTTATTTAATTAACTTTTACTCTAAGCCTTTTAATAAAAATGATTCAAAACCCCGAAAAATTTAATTTTTGTTGCTCTCTGCTCCCAGACTGTAAAAAGCATGAGCAAGTGCATCAACTGGTTGCCATTTCAATGGCTTTGCTTATGTAACATAATTTGTGGCTAATACTGGCATCTCTTCCGTCAACCATCCGAACCTGTTCTTCAGAGTTGGCCGCGAATTTTCCCGCCGTGGATCCTAAGCCGGATCACCTTGCAACCAGTATATATGTATCTATATCTTTTGCTATTTGCAGGTGTTACACTTTACAACATCGCGGCAAACATTAGCCGGTTTATGAATCTGCATAACCAATCAATTGGCATTCCAATGGACAATAACCACCAGTGATATTCCATTAGCCGGACCAACTGGTTCACTTCCAAAAGGAAATTTAATATCCAATAGATAGTTTTAGCCCGTTTTTGGTTTACTTATTTAATATTCAAAATATCATTTTAATTAAAAATCTGAAAACTGAAATTGAGCTGGCCCATTTAATTGAAAAATGCAAAACAAACCAGGTGAAGTAATTGCACTGAAAAAAAGGCTAACAAATACTAAGAATTCGGGTGAGGCGTGGCATGCTACCAATGATGATTGCCAGTATCCATTTGGGCAGTAAGGTTAACTAGATTTGACAGAAGTTAGTGGTGGCCAATCCCTCCGATTTTGATTCCGAATAATGCCAAAAAATAATCTTTTAATGTCTCTAGAGCCCTCTGAATGAAAATCATTTAATATTTACAACACACAGCGCCTAAAATTTATAATTAATACTTTTTTTGTAGCTTTTAATTTTAAGCTTTAAAAGTTATGGTTATTTTTTTTATAAAGTTTCTGGTTTTTTCCCTCGAAGTAACGCCCATTTGAAAAAGGTTTTATGCAATCTTTTTGTGGCATTTGTAATTTTTTCGTTTGATTTGCATACAAATTTGTGTGTGCTATGTTTTTGGAGTGTTTTGTTTTAATCTCTTTGGGTTATCGATTAACATTTGTATAGACACAAACTATAAAAGGTTTCAGACCTTCCTCGCTATTTTTTTACATGTTTGGGGAATACATATTTTTGAAAAAGAAAAAACAACGTGACTTGGCTGTGGCACGCAAATGAAATCGTGTATCTGCGGGTCTATCAGGGTTCATACAATTTTTATGGCATATATCCAAACATTAAATATATGTGAAAATACACACACAGACCTATCACAATGCAGTTCCAGCGATTTGCACGCAAGAGAAAATAGCTGAAGGTTTTTTTTGGGTTTTAGCCATGAGTTATTTATTATTGAAACGAAATCAAAATTGCATTAACAGGAGAATGTATCGAAACAAAAAGATTGCTGCTAACAGAATTGTTAATATTACGTATACCCCAGATTGTGCTTGAAAGGCAGAGTATTTACAAACGTCAAACACTATAATTTAATTTTATTTTGTAATCAAGTAATTCTTCCATTAAATTTATTAATTAATGTTACATATACGCCACATGTCCCTTAACCTAGGCAACCTAATTGCCAGCAAAACGTTCAACCACAATTAGAGTCACAGATGCATTTATGCAAATATGGTAGCCGTTTAGTTCCTCCAGTCCCTGTTAATTAATTGGCATCTTTGGCATGAAGACTGCCACTGCTCTGCGGTTGACTGATTGGCCTGGTCAACCTCAGTTTCGTTGGGGCCTCAATTGCCCCTTTGACTTTGGCTCTGGCTTTAGGCCATTTGCATACCAAATGTGTCAAGTTCGAGCCAAATTACTTTGTGTAATCAAGTGAGTTTGTAAACGATGCTTGATGGATGGTATTCAATCAGTATCTAAAGCTTATGAAGTATCTATTAGAGGGCATACGTTTCCGGATTTGTTATTTTTAGTCGCCAAAATCTCTTAAGGCAATAATTAACCGCCGGAATCTCCTACAACCTTTACGAATTGATTTCGGTATCGATTTTTAATGCAAAATAACTGGAAACTACAAGTTTGCCAAATGCCATTCGACCTTGTTAAGTATTGGAACATGTTTGAATATTTATTCGAATGATATCATATCCAAATTCGAATTTACATGAACCGAATTGGTGGCAGGGTGAAATTAATTCACGAAGCGAGCTCTGCCGCACCTTCCGAATGAAGATGTAAGGTCTTTCAGAGTGATTCACCTGCGAGGAACAGTTCTTAGCATGCCTGGGCGTCTCAGTTCTTAAATGGTGATCATTACACTTTCAGATGGCATTGCCCCACGCAGAAGATCCCACTAGCTCGACAATCCCATAAAAAAATAAAAAACAAAAACAAAACCAAACACCTTCAGAGATCTACGGCCCACAACTTTCTTTGCTTTTGACACAGTTTCCTAGACGGTATCGTTCACCTTTTTTGGGTTCGGGAATATTTAAATTAAAATTTTGATTAGTTTTGGCTTTCAGTCACTTGTAGAATTTATATTCAAATTTCGGTCACAGTTCTTTTTTGCCAAGTTGTGAATTGCGAATTTCAAACACGTCTCAGTCGCGGCTTTTTCATTTTCAACGCGCATGCGCACACGCGTTGCTCTCGCTTCTCAAACCGGCGCTCAACTAACTGTTTTCGGTTGAAGCCAGGCTTGCTGCAGACACCTTTCTTGGCTCACAGCATGTTCGACGTGGTTTGATCGTCAGCCAGAGGTTCGAGGCTCTTTTTGGGGCTTGCCGTTTTTTTATTTTTCAAAATTAATTAGAGTTTCCATTCAGTGTTTATGGCTCTGGCAGAGTGTAACTACTGGTGGAGCGATAATTAATTAGCAGTAAATTAAAGTGACAGTTCAGTGATTATGTCACAGTGGGAGAGCTCTGCCGAAATCACATTGATATGCAAATGAATGAAAGAAATGCCCCAACTAAGGCCCTAACACTTTGAAAGCCCGCCGAGCTTGGAATTCGCTGATTCATGTCATTTTTAACAATTATTGAGAAGAAAATAAATGCGGCCAACATCACCTTGAAGTATAAACCACTTTGGCCAGACTAAGTCGCTTAAAGCAGTTGGCCAAGTTCAAGTTTTTTTTCTCTTGCCTCTGACTAGGAAAGAAATTGAGAAATTACATCACTTGACTTTCGGCTTAAACTTCAGCTTTTGGGTGGGGCAATCGTCGGTGTCTCTGCAACCTGCTGATGGGCATCATTTCTCATTCGAGGCTGGATTGTTCCCATTGTCAGCAGCTTTTTGGGGCAACTTCTGTGGCTTTTTGCCTCTCAAAATATAAGCCCATTTAATTTATGCATATTTTTTTGCGTCTGTCTTGTGCCGGTTATAAATACCCAAAAAATGTATTTATAATACAAATTGTAGGAAAAAATAGCTTTCACTTTCAATGCGGTGGCGGTTGCCGTTTATTTTTTTATTGTCCAAAAATCGTGCCATTATTTATGGCTTTTTGTTTAGCCGGGTCAGTTATTATATTTTTCTTTTTTTGTGGTAAGCTTTGAGTGGCAACAAGCTATTGATGGGCTATAGAAAAGCTAAAAACAATTCAATTAAGCCCACAGTTTGCGGTCAGATAAGTCGTCCAAAAATGGCAATTAGCCAATAATTGCTTGGTTTATTTTTCAAGACTCGTAAATATTTGATTGAAAAAATGTAGGCAAGTAATCTTCCATAAAAGGAAATCAATTTAATAAAATTGATAGAACTTAGTTATATCCTTTCAGTTTATTTAGATGGATTCCAGTTCGACATTCCTCGCCTTAGAATTCATAGACGTATTTGCCCCCATTTTGGCGACTCCAGATCAATTTGCCGCTTTTAATGGCAACAAGCATGCTGAGAATTGCAGCACACGCTGCCAACGCACAGGAAACCGGCTGCACCTGGTCAGACACCTTGGGGAAGGGGGCAACAAGGCGCAGGGGTGGTGCCACCGCAACCAGATGTTTGCCTTTGACTGGCGGCAGTCTCGTTGATCTCTGCTCCAATTCCAATATGTGTGAGTGTGTTTTTTTTTGTTTTGCCTCCTTTTCGCACCGAACACGACATTGTGCAACATGCTCTTCGATATGGCAAAAACCCCCAGCTCACTGCTCCACCATGCCCCTTCGATTTGTGGCAGCTGCAGCGCGCATTAGAGATGGTGAGACGCAGATTGCGCTGCACCCAGATCCCATATCCCAGATCCAAATCCGTGGCGATTCGAATGGGCATAGCATACATATGTTGCCCCGTTTAACTCTCCGCTTGTCACCCAACTTGCCACTTTCGATTTTTCATAGAGGTGGCACTGAGAGAAAAGATTTTTGATAGACTCTTGAAAGATTTTAGAAAAAAGAAAACACCTAAAAATTCACGTTTGGTACTTCCAATGTTAGTTTTTACCAAAGTTCCACAAATTAAGCAAGGACTTGTGGTTTATATTTTTTAAGCCTTAAGGAAGACGATAAAGTATTACAATATTTTCTATAAATCTTTAAATTCATGTGTAATCTCTATATACATTTTTTCTGCAACTCACTGCCTTTGTTCGCGGCTCACCCTCCCATCCCCTTGGCAGTAATTGTGAGTGGACCTGGCCATTTATGGCGTTTTACTTCTTCGGACCCATTTGGTCCGCCATGTCGGACATTTTGCACGTGTTCAGCCCACAAAAGGGAAACAAAAATGGGGAATAAAAAGCAACAAAAATGAGAAAAAAGGGGAGCTAAAAAACTGGGAGAGAAACAGGGAAGAAATATGCCCGGTAATTGTGTGCTTCCCATTTGATGTGTCAGCAAAACCGTTTTTGTGGTTCTTTCTGCAAATGTCGGGACAATTGTCAGGTCCAAAAAAAAGACCCAAAAAAAGAATAAACCATTACCTCAAAGGACCACTGCCCTCCTTTGAGGGTAAATTATTCAATGGGGGGAAAAAGGTAACGTAAATTAATCATTTAATCTAAAAAAATGAATGGTTGTGCGAGTGTTCTGGATCTATTTTTGATAAGGGTACTCTTTTAAATCTTTTATAAGATTAAATTAAATAATTCATAACAAACGGACCTAAAATATTAAAAATTTTCTCATATTGAGTTTATCTTATTCGAAAAGCTATTATCAATTGGTGATCTTTCAGCTTAAGGGCTTAGTTCAATGGCCAAATACAATGGACCATAACTGAAACCATTAGGTTTGTGTTTAAATCCATTCATTGCTCAATCTCCGCGATGATGCAATAATACCTAGTACTGCAGGCAAAAAGCCTCAGCAGCCAACCAAAAAAAAACCAACAACATAAGCACCATCGGGCATCAGCAACAGCATCATCACCTCATCATCGCCATCATCGTAGACATCCCCATCGACATCTGACATGCCGAGGGCCAAGCACAGCGCCTCCATCGAAATCTCAGTAACCATCTTTGTCTTCATAGAGATGCTAGAGAGCTTACTTACTATGTATATCTCCAACAATCATTGCTGACGCACAGATCATGTGGCACTGGCACAAATTATTTTAGACTAAACAAGAAAGGAAATCTAACTTCGGACGGAGCTGAAGTTGATAAATCCTGCAGTTAAGATCGAATATAGAACGCAAATATCGGATAAAGTGGCCGCTCAAGATAAAGCCATGATTTTGGAACCTTTGTAGCCATCACTGCGGACCCTATAGGGGAAAACCCTATTTTCATAGGAACCCATCACGAAAAATGGACAACAAATGAAAAAAATAGTTTGTCTTAGGGTTTTGATGCAGAATGGTGGAGAATCTATCCAGAAATCGTTTAAGGTACTCCGCTTGAGAATCGGTTGAGAATTGGGAAAGATATAGCCATCACAGTGGACCCTATAGGGAAAAACCCAATTTTCAAGGGGTTCCATCAAGAAAAAGGACAAAAAATCGAAAAAATATTTTATCTCAGGGATTTGATGCAGAATGGTGGAGAATCGATCCAGAAATCATTTAAGGTATTCCGATTGAGAATCGGATAAGAATTGGGGAAGATATCGCCATGCCCGTGGACCCTATAGGGCAAAACCGCATTTTCAAGGGGTTCCATCAAGAAAAAGGACAAAAAATCGAAAAAATATTTTGTCTCAGGGTTTTGATGCAGAATGGTGGAGAATCGATCCAGAAATCATTAAAGGTACTCCGCTTGAGAATCGGATAAGAATTGGGGAAGATATCGCCATGCCCGTGGACCCTATAGGGCAAATCCCCATTTTCAAGGGGTTCCATCAAGAAAAAGGACAAAAAATCGAAAAAATATTTTGTCTCAGGGTATTCATGCAGAATGGTGGAGAATCGATCCAGAAATCGTTTGAGGTACTCCGCTTGAGAATCGGATAAGAATTGGGGAAGATATCGCCATGCCCGTGGACCCTATAGGGCAAAACCCCATTTTCAAGGGGTTCCATCAAGAAAAAGGACAAAAAATCGAAAAAATATTTTGTCTCAGGGTTTTGATGCAGAATGGTGGAGAATCGATCCAGAAATCATTAAAGGTACTCCGCTTGAGAATCGGATAAGAATTGGGGAAGATATCGTCATGCCCGTGGACCCTATGGGGCAAATGCCCATTTTCAAGGGGTTCCATCAAGAAAAAGGACAAAAAATCGAAAAAATATTTTGTCTCAGGGTATTCATGCAGAATGGTGGAGAATCGATCCAGAAATCGTTTGAGGTACTCCGCTTGAGAATCGGATAAGAATTGGGGAAGATATCGCCATGCCCGTGGACCCTATATGGCAAAACCCCATTTTCAAGGGGTTCCATCAAGAAAAAGGACAAAAAATCGAAAAAATATTTTGTCTCAGGGTTTTGATGCAGAATGGTGGAGAATCGATCCAGAAATCGTTTAAAGTACTCCGCTTGAGAATCGGATAAGAATTGGGGAAGATATCGCCATGCCCGTGGACCCTATAGGGCAAAACCGCATTTTCAAGGGGTTCCATCAAGAAAAAGGACAAAAAATCGAAAAAATATTTTGTCTCAGGGTTTTGATGCAGAATGGTGGAGAATCGATCCAGAAATCGTTGAAGGTACTCCGCTTGAGAATCGGATGAGAATTGGGGAAGATATAGCCATCACAGTGGACCCTATAGGGCAAAACCCCATTTTCAAGGGGTTCCATCAAGAAAAAGGACAAAAAATCGAAAAAATATTTTGTCTCAGGGTTTTGATGCAGAATATTGGAGAATCGATCCAGAAATCATTTAAGGTACTCCGCTTGAGAATCGGATATGAATTGGGGAAGACATTGCCATGCCCGTGGACCCTATAGGGCAAAACCCCATTTTCAAGGGGTTCCATCAAGAAAAAAGACAAAAAATCGAAAAAATATTTTGTCTCAGGGTTTTGATGCAGAATGGTGGAGAATCGATCAAGAAATCGTTTAAGGTACTCCGCTTGAGAATCGGATAAGAATTGGGGAAGATATAGCCATGCCCGTGGACCCTATAGGGGAAGATATCGCCATGCCCGTGGACCCTATAGGGCAAAACCGCATTTTCAAGGGGTTCCATCAAGAAAAAGGACAAAAAATCGAAAAAATATTTTGTCTCAGGGTTTTGATGCAGAATATTGGAGAATCGATCCAGAAATCGTTTAAGGTACT